AAGAAGCCCGCACCACAAGATGATAGGAGTCCACCTTCTACAAATGTTCAGGTACAGAAAATTCTGCAGTGATCAGAGGTTTTTCTTTTTAAAGTTTCTTCTATTTGAAGACAAAATGATATGCATAGCAAAATCTGAACCTTGGTTGTATGACCACCCCTCCAAAAAAAATTAAAGCTACATGGCAGAGAAATGTTTTAATGCATTTATCTTGCACATCAGGAAACCTGTGCCCATATCCAAATAAAGAAAGGAGTGAGACTGCATCTGAAAATCTCACTGCAGTCCCCAAATGAATATGCATCACCAACCCCAAACAATTCAGAGTATTGGGTAGGCTCTGCTTCCAAACTGAAACAGCAGTGTGTTGCACATCAGGATTGGAAGAGGCTGAACAGCTTATTGTCATACTCCTGCTCTTGATCATGAAAGCTTATGCATCTCTGATTCACTTGTCCACAAGGTGCATCTCTACCCCACTTGCTGTCATACTGATATGGTTACTCCCAGCAGTCTACAACTGCAAATTCATAGAGCCAAGACATTCCTTAAATAGTGAGACCAATGAATAGTGTGAACAATAACGTGGAGCCATTTTTGCATTAGCATATACATCAAAATAAATTAGCTAACATTAGGAGCAGTGAGAGATTTCTGCCCCAAGTCCCTTAATATAGGCCTAAATGACTAACACATGCAGATGAACTATCTATGGGAGTTTTATCTAATTCTTGACTATTTATGTTTTTATCTGAAGTTTTTGAAAATTAAGTGGGTTAGCCCTCACAGTTTGATTTATGTTTCTCCCATTCCTATTATGAATGGAATTAAACGAAATAGTGCAATGAATTTGAATATGAGATGGATGAGAACTTTGTGTGGAAACTAAGTTGTGGTTTATCAAAGAAAAGGAATGCATTTTACCATAGGTTTAGAAATATGCCAGTAAAAATTAACAGAATTTAGAAACATGCAAAACAAGCAGAACTGAGCAAACAATAGCCCAGGGCTTAGCACTAAAAATTAATCTGTACAACAGCACAGGTTTTGGTCAAAATTACAGAATAAAACTAGCTAATAAGGACACCACCTATCATCTATGATGGAGTGTAAGATAAATGTATTCATGCACAAAAAGAACTGCTATAAAACCATTGGTGTTACAATTTAAAAACAAGAGGAAAAACAGGTTCTTGAAGCCTTATTTAACACACAAAAAAAATGTTGAGCAGAGAAACATTGCAGTTCTTGGTTAAGCTGCAGGTTTGATTCTATGGTGATAAGAGAAACAAGAAAACCTGAGATCGAGATGCATGACAAAACGTTGAGCTTCACTAATGAAGCAGACTTCCCCAGAGAGACTTGTTTCTGGGTTTTAAGCTAGTGTTCGCTCTGAGTACATGAAAAAGAAGGTTTCCCTTCAGATTGCATTTTGAGAGTATTAGGAACAGATTGATTGCTTCCCTACATGTTATTTTCCTTTATTTCTCAAACATGCTACATGGCTCAGTTTGAGAAGTGCTGGCCAGGACTTTGTGCATGGTGCCTGCAGATGGTAAGGTTACTTTCTTCAAGTCAGAACTGTTTAGCTGACATGTCTGAAATATGTGCTTTAAGTTGTCATTACTAATATCTACAGAACCCTGTGTCAAGAAGTAGATACCATCACTGCCACCAAGGAGCACGCAGTCATCTAACCACGCTTTCATCTAACCACATGCTCCTTGTGCCCCTAAATCTCACTAGTCCTATCAGTGGAAAGACTAGTGAGATTTGGGGGCCCAAGGAGCTCACATTGTGCAAGATCAGCCTCCCAATTGGAAGAACAATATTGAGCAACTTGCACTGCTTAAAATAAACATGACTGGGGATAATCTACTTTCATCCTCAGAGAAAATCTACCATTGTTCCTCTAATTATTTCCAATGTTATCATGGGGCATCAAGCAACAGATCACCTCACACTGAGTCGCAAGTTAGAAGATAATAGATTAAAAAGTCTGAGGAAGCCCTTCTTAGTAATAGAAATGAAGATGCTGCCTTATAGAAAGCCATTAGAAAATGTGTCCTGCTGGATGTTGCTAAGGCCAGTAGCAGTGGTCAGGACCCGAGAACTGGCCTCAGTGGCCCAGGAAGGTCCTATGAAGTAAACTCCTGTGAAGTTTCATAGATTTTTAGAGTCGGAAGGGACCTCAGTAGATCACCGAGTCTGACTCCCTGCCCTGGGCAGGAAAGAGCACTGGGGTCAGATGACCCCAGCCAGGTGCTTGTCCAGTCTCCTCTTAAAGACCTCTAAGGTAGGGGGGAGCACCACCTCCCTTACAAGCCCATTCCAGATTTGGGTAAACTTTACTATGGTCCTATGACAAACTCCTTGATGGAATGGGGAATAGGAGGTATTAATTGTAGTACTAAGGGGATACTGAGGAGTTGTCAGGGAGTTGATTTTTTTGCTGAATAATCTCATTTTGTTTTCAATTTTTTTCTCCCTCTCCTGCTTGTGTTTGGTTCCTTTAAATACTTCAACTCTGCCGGTTTGCAGTTCACAAAAATTGCTCAGAAGATTACAATGCAGCAGATGGTAATACTGGTTTTACAAAGTAATCTAGTAATTTTAGAGCATCCACTAAGGGCTGCCTAGAGTAGCATTTATTGTGACCTCAAACAAAACCTCTGATTCTGTGTTGTCAACGAAAAGCAAGGGAAGAGCTCTGTAGCTCTGTGCCTGAACTGAGTTTATTACAATTTTGTGTTTGGGGATAAAGGATCTACAAAGAAAGCATTGTATAAAATAAAGATGAAGGCAGTTCATTTTCTGGCTTTGCTTAACTGATTTGCAAGAGATTACTGTAGGGCTGGTTTTATAAAAATCTAAAATTATAGCAGGCAATCTCTTGGCTTGTTGCAGTGCAATTACACACAGAATGGCTTACAAAGCAATGAATCTATCTAAATTTGAGAAGTTAATTATACCCCGCCATTTATAGGCTTACAGTAAACTATCTTGCCAATTTTCCTAAAACACAGAATAAATCCAATTTAATTGGATGTTTAACTGTTACTTCCTAACCAGAATAGAAAACTTGGCTGCCATTTAATATTTATTCTCATCTTAAAAACAAAAAAATAAAGAGTATTTTTCTTTAGGTTCATATGCATAATGTGGTTTGTATAATTACATTCTGACACAGTTCTACTTCCTGTTTATTCAGCA